AAAGGCCTCAGCTGATTTGCCCACATATTAAATTCATAAATGAACATGCACCTTATTAATGACACTCAAATTAATTGATGTGGTATCCCCAGCCACCTTCAAATCTGCAATTACATTCTACAAATTTAGTTAGAGCTTATTGTATCTGTTCTCTAAGGACCTTTAAGTTCTATGCAACTGTGTCATCTGTGATTGTGGCACATTCGTGTCTGATCAGATGTGACTGTATTGATGAAACTTTAATCAACGTGACTTTAAAAAAGTTATTAATTCTAGTCAGGCGCCAGTGGCTCACACCTATAATCCTAGCTACTCAGGAGGCTGAGATCTAAGGTTCACGGTTTAAAGCCAGCCCAGGCAAGAAAGTCCAGGAGACTCTAATCTCCAATTAACCACCAGAAAACTGGAAGTGGCATTATGGCTCAAGTGGTAGGGCACTAGCCTTGAGCTGAAGAACGCAGGGTCAGTGCCCAGGCCTGGAGTTCAAGCCCCATGATGGATGAAAAGGAAACTTATTAACTTATTAAAAATAGTTGTTCACTAACTCCCAGGTGCAGTGCTAGGCTCCAGCTCATCACAAGATTACTCTCTTGGGGTTAGAGCCTAGTGAGGGTGGGCGGACCCAAAAAAAAAAAAAAACACTGGAAGTGTTAACAAGATGAGGTCAGAGGGAAAGGGAAAGGTAATAGGAGAAATAGATAGGGTCCTCAGATGTCCCTTGGAGGTGATATTTGAGATCCAAAGGGGAGCTAGTCTTCTCATGATGAAATTTGTTTTTAAAAACAACCATTCCTGGAGCTGGGAAGGTGGCTCAGTGGTAGAGTGCTTACCTTGCATGCATGAGGCCCTGAGTTCGATTCCTCAGCACCATATAAATGGAAAAAGCCAGCAGTGGTGCTGTGGCTCAAGTGGTAGAGCACTAGCCTTGAGCTGAAGAGCTCAAGGATAGCGCCAGGCCCAGAGTTCAAGCCCCACAACCGACCAAAAAAAAAAAAATCCCAGAAAATACATCCCATGTCTTTTTCAAAACTCCTTCAAGACTCACCTTTGTTTCCTGCCTTCAAAGCCAAAATAATGAACCTTCCCCTCAAGTGACAACAAGTTTCACTCAAAACAGAATCATTAGCCAGGTGCTGGTGGCTCACACCTATAATCCTAGCTACTCAGGAGGCTGGGATCTGAAGATCCTGGTTCAAAGCTAGCCCAGGAAGTAAAATCCATGACTCTTATCTCCAGTTAACCATCAGAAAACTGGAAGTGGTGTTGTGGCTCAAAGTGGTAGAGTACTAGCCTTGAGCAAAAGAGCTCAGGGACAATGCCCAGGCCCTAAATTCAAGCCCCATGAACACACACACACACACACACACACACACACACACACACACACACGACAATGCCCAGGCCCTAAATTCAAGCCCCATGCACACACACACACACACACACACACACACTAGGTTATAATGGCTCACACCTGTAATCCTAGCTACACAAGAGGCTGAGATCTGAAGATTCTTGTTCAAAAACAGACTGGGCAGGCAGAAGTCTGTGACTCATCTCCAAGTAATCACCAAAAATCTGGAAATGGAGCTCAAATGGTAGCGTTACTAGCCTTGAGCTAAAAAAAAAAAAAAAAAAGCTCACTAACAAAGTCTATGCCCTGAGTTCAAGCCCCAGTACCAGCAAACAAACAAAAACAGTAAACAGAAAAAAAAAATCAAATAGCATTTTTTTTTTGTCGGTCCTGGGGCTTGATTTCTGGGCCTGGGCGCTGTCCCTCAGCTCTTCAGCTCAAAGCAAGTGCTCTACCACTTGAGCCACAGCGCCATTTCCAGTTTTCTGGTGGTTTATTGGAGATAAGAGTCTCATGGACTTTCCTCCCTGAGCTGGCTTTGAACCGCAATTCTCAGATCTCAGCCTCCCGAGTAGTAGCTAGTATTACAGGCGTGAGCCACCAATGCCTGGCTCACAAACAGCATTATGTCATCTTTCCCTCCAAACATCTTTAGTTAATCAGGTCTCGGAGAACAAATATTTACTTAATATTGTTAAAGCGCTGATGTCCAGAGCTCTGGGCCATAGTTCTTGTTGGATAGTAACGTTACAGTTGTGGGGTTGTTTTTTTTTTTTTTTTGTCAGTTGTGGGACTTGAACCCTGGGCCTAGGCACTGTCCAGACTAATCAGAGCCTCCTGAGTAGCTAGGATTACAGACGTGAGCCACCAAAGCCTGGCGATAATGTGTATTTTTATTTTTAGTCAGTGATGGGGCTTGATCTCTGGGCCTGAGTGCTGTCCCTCAGCTCTTCAGCTCAAGGCTAGCATAGAGCACAGCACCACTTCCAGCTTTTTCTTTTTTGTTTTCTGCTTATGTGGTGTCGAGGAATTGAACCCAGGGCCTCATGCATGCAAGGCAAGCAGTCTACCACTGAGCCACCTTCCCAGCCCAACTTCCAGCTTTTTCTGTGTATGTGGTTCTGAGAAATCCAACCCAGGGCTTCATGCATGCAATGCAAGCACTCTACCACTAGGCCACCTTCCCCGCCCTATGGGTATTTTAAAATTAAAAATAAATAAATAAAATAAAATGGGTCTTTCCGTTTTTACTTTAAAAAGATATGTAGAAGTCCAAAGGAAGTCTCCAAAGGAAAATATGCCAGACCATCAAATTCTCAAATCTCCATGCAACTATCAAAACTTGACTATCCATCAAAACCTGCTTTGAACTTCAGATTGGAGGGCTGGTGCTGTAACTGGGTGGCAGGGTACTTGCCAGGCATACCAAGGCTCTGTGTTCCATCTTCAGTACTACAGAAATAATGTAAAAATAACAAATTCTCAAATATCAGGATAGGGAATAAATGTGGCTTGTCATCAATGTGGCTGCTTTCATGCACTTTCCAAAACTGCTTAAATTGGCCCCAATTTGTAAATAACCTAGGATTGTTAATTCAATTTGTGTATTATTTGTGACTGTTCTCTTGCCTGTGTGTGTGTGGGTGTGCGCGCGCACTCGTGCATAACTCAGGTCTGCAAGTTTGTGAGGCAGGTGCTCTACTTGAGTCATACTTGCAGTCCTCAGAAACATTTTAGTAACGTTTCAGTAACTGGGAAGATCCAAATGCTTTGGCTTAAGAATGTTATTCCTACCACTAAATGGGGTACATTTTTCTTCAGAGTAAATAGTTGTTTTTCCTGATACGATTATCACATTCAGCTTCACAAATGGGGAGAAATGATTTGCAATACCATGTTATTATGCACTGACACTTTACTGTTGCCTATGAGTAGTTATGCCCATATGAATTTGACTACTCCTATGAATATTCCATTTATCTTCTTTGTAGAACTGGAGCTGGAGCTAACTTCAGAATTAAATTGGGGGCTGGGAAGGTGGCTCAGTGTTAGAGCGCTTGCCTTGCATGCATGAGACCCTGGGTTTGATTCCTCAGCACCACATAAGCAAAAAGAAAAAAGCCGAAAGTGGCGCTGTGGCTCAAGTGGTAGAGCACTAGCCTTGAGCTGAAGAGCTGAGGGACAGCGCCCAGGCCCAGAGTTCAGGCCCCACAATCGGACTCCAAAACAAAAAACAACAACAACAAAAAAAAATAGAATTAAATTGGCTCTTATATGTTCATTCTTTTTTTTTTTTTTGGTCGGTCGTGGGGCTTGAACTCTGGGCCTGGGCGCTGTCCTTCAGCTCTTCAGCTCAAGGTGAGTGCTCTACCACTTGAGCCACAGCGCCACTTCTGGTTTTTCTGGTGGTTTATTGGAGATAGGAGTCTCAGGGTCTCTCCTGCCCGGGCTGGCTTTGAACCGCGATTCTCAGATCTCAGCCTCCTGAGTAGCTAGGATTACAGGCGTGAGCCACCAGCGCCCGGCTTATATGTTCATTCTTAAGCAAATTCTTTTACTAAAATATGGTTTGCAGGTTTTGTTTTTATACTGATTTGAACGTAGGGTCTCATGATGTTAGCTTTTTCACTGTCAGGCGTTCTACTTAAGCCACGGTCTCATTTCTAGCTTTTTGCTGGTTAAGTGGAATAAGAGTCTCCTGGATTTGTCTGCCCTGGCCAGCTTTGAAATGCAATGATCAGACCTCAAGCTTCCAGAATAGCTAGGGTTTACAGTAGCTGGCTGCAGTCATAGTATTTACCTTCGTACCACTCTTCCCCCCTCAACAGGCTGAAGTTAACTCACCCATCAAAATCCAGTCAGCATTCAACCTACAGTGCTTCCACAATATGGATTTCACCCTGAAAAACCTGCGTAGGAATTCTAAAACCAGTGTCAGAACACTCAAAAAAAAAAAAAATCATGACCAGGTGCCAATGGCTCACACCTATACTCCTAGCTACTCAGGAGCCTGACATCGAAGGATTATGGTTTAAAGCTGGCCTGGGCAGGCTCATAAGACTCTGATCTCCAATTTAACACCAAAAAAAGCCAGAAGTGGAGCTGTAGTTCATGTCTAGCTTTGAGCAAAAAAGCCCAGGCCCTGAGTTCAAGCCACAGGACTGGAACAAAAAGACAAAAAAAAAAATCACATATACTTAATGATCGCAAATATATTTATTACAATTTACAGATTAGTTAACAGGTATATATACAAATAGAATTTCAACAATAAAATTCCAACAGACTGGCTACATTTAAATCACTGGATCTGAAGAAGCCAATAAGAAGTCTGCCAGTACCTAAACTTCACCTTCCATAAATTATAAAAAAATAAAATCTGATGGGTTTGACTTCTAGTTAGATGGAAGAGGTGTTATCACATTTCATCACTGAGAAATAGAAATGCTATCTGTCTATACAAAGCTCTTCTCATGATACATTCACATGTAAAGCACCATGACATGACTTTAATGTATAAAATGTGCACGAAAGACCTTCAGGCATTTTATTCTTAAACATTGGTTAGGGGACTCTTAACATAGAAATTGGATAAACGGACAAGAATTTTGGCTTGCTCCTTCAGTCCAATTTTTTTTTTTTTTTTTTCTGGAGACAGGTCTTATTATACCTATCAGTCTGGCCTTAAGAGTTGCTATGTAGGCTAGGCTGACCTTAAACTTGAGATCCTCTTGCTTTAGCCTTGCAAGTGCTGAGATTACAGGCATGTACAACCATGCCCAGTTTCAATCTAATTTTTAGCTTACTCTAAGCCTGGTAGCCAGGAAAACCACTGTACAAATTATAGGCAATATTTCTTTTCATTTGGTGGCATGGGGGATTGAATTCAGGGTCTTGTGCTCAAAAAGCAACCTACAGTTGAGCCCTAGTCCAGACTAATTTATGGTCCCTTTGTCGTCATCATAATCTTATCACTTCTAAAGGAGAGAGGAAGACATGGGAGATTCTGAACCAGGCTTTTACTTTTCTGCAAGTGGGAGCAGTCTCAAGAGAACTCCAAGTGTAAAGACGTCCTATCACTTTAAAATTCACAGATGTGCTAGATTTCAGAAACACAAAATGTAACTGAAGTTTCAAATCATCTAGTATACTTAGTCTTATTTTAAAAGACCACCTATGCATTATCACAAGGCTTTTACCTAAGTGAATGATCCAGGCCTGACGCACCCTTGTTTTTCCATTGTGTTTTACCAGACTCTGTGGTTGCCTAAGTGGAGGGACCCAAGCCCCAAGGTCTCTTCAATAACTTAGCCAGCTTCCATATGCTGTACTCTCAGTGTGTATAGTAATGAATATATATACACTAACACCGGAGGCAGATCTCGAGAGCAAACCAGATGGGAATAAAATGACCAGGTAGATCATAAACTGAGGTAGTAACCCTACAAGCACTTCTGAAAAACTCATCCCCATACTGAAGTTCAAAATAAGTGGTCTTCTAACCTCCTGTGGTGGGAGACATGGAATAAAAACTGACCATCAGAGCTGGTTAACATTACTAACCCAACAGATATACACCATGGAAAGCTAGCTAAATGAAACAAGCATAATCAATCAATGCAAAGACTTCAATAGTAAACTTTGGACTAAAGGTATTAAGAGTTGCAAGTTGTTAAATCTAGTTCGTCCTTTCCTGAAACTAGAGGCTTTGCCACTGCTTTTCTATTATTAAAATAGCAGAACGCAATAAACCTGCATACTGACTGGAGCTGCTTTTCCATTTCACACTTGAAGATTCAGAGCTGCCCAGTCCCAAGTTTAGTGTCACCCTGACAGGTTTTGAAAGTGACAGTGCTGAGGTGTGGTGTTGAGTAACACTGATCTTCTTTTGAGAGCGTATACTATAAAAACAAAACTCTTATTTGCCTCTAAAGGTGAAAAAAACTTAGGATGCAGTGATTACTTTCTCAAGTGTTTTACAATTTCTCACTGTGGAAAGATAACAAAGAACTATAGTAACTGGAGCTACAGTAACAGAACTGGAGCTACAGTACCAGAAAACTCCAAAAACAGTCTGCACAGAAATCAAATATATTAGATGCTAAGATTTGGCAGATAGACACAGCTTTTTCAAAGCTGTAGAGATTCCTCTAAGGGCAGGGTTTTCTGGCAGTCATTGGAAACATCTTAAGAAAAATTGGTAGAAAAATTCACCATATTTTCAACAATAGTTACCTTTAAAACAAGAAAAAAGTGGCATGATATAATGTCCTTTAGTATGTCATGAAGATTATTATTTTGCAGCCTTAAGGTAAAGGGGCCTAATCAATAGAGAGAAAAAACAGAAAAACATAAAAGCCCATTAATTTAGGAATATTGGTAAAAATTAGGAGCCTAATAATTTTGGACAAATGTACAAATTAGAACTGAAAATGGGCTTTAAAGCCCTATATTGTTTCCCAAGAAAGTAAGTTTTAAAGTGCAAAGTTACAACTCAAAAGGTCTCCCTGTTCACTTCAAGCAAACAAAGAACATTTAAAAAACATCCAACTAAAACTGAAAGGGGGAGGACCAAAAATCACAGATCCTTCATTATCAGAGCTGACCGTAAGCCTGCATATTTCTAATGGGATATGTTGCAAAAATTAAAAAAATTAAACTATTTCACGGGAACCAATTTTATATCTCTTTAGAAAAAATGTCAATATTTGTTTTTATCTTTTTAAGCCTCTTAAGAGGTAGTGTATGCAAGGCTACACACTATCAACTCATCTTAACATTGTTTGAAAACAGTAAGTCCTTCAAAGCACACTTCTTGGAGTCTATTAAACATTCTTTCTCTGTGCTCAAATGTCAAGCAATATCCAATAGCAACTTCTGTTTCTTGAATTCGTTTCTGGAACCTGCATCCATCTCTTGCAAATTCTTCCCATGGTCCTTTGCGATCCTCATCACCACTTATGTAATACTCTGTAACTTCTTCGAGGAAGGTTACCTACGAAGACAAAGACTCACTTCAATACCACTACATCCATGGAAGTCAATATTCTTATAGAAAACTTTTTTTTTGTCGGTCGTGGGGCTTGAACTCTGGGCCTGGGCGCTGTCCTTCAGCTCTTCAGCTCAAGGCGAGCACTCTACCACTTGAGCTACAGCGCCACTTCCAGTTTTCCGGTGGTTTATTGGAGATAGGAGTCTCACAGTCTTTCCTGCCTGGGCTGGCTTTGAACCGTGATCCTCAGATCTCAGCCTCCTGAGTAGCTAGGATTACAGGCGTGAGCCACCAGCGCCCAGCTTCCTATAGAAAACTTTTAAATAATATTTTATTTTTCATTTTTGAAGAGTTTTCACTTTTCAGTATTGGCCAATTGTTGAGATTTTTGGCAGTTCCTTTTATAATCATATTAGAGAAGAGAAAGTTACTTAGTAAACAAACTATAGCAAAATTGGTTCTTTTAGGATGTTACTACATGAGACTTTGTAAGACTAACAAAAGAAAAAAGATCTTCTTTGTATCTAGTATGTTAACATACACAGGTTTATAACCCCTTACTTGAACTGCTTGGGACCAATAGTATTTCAGATTTCAGAGTTTACTGCATCTTGGAATATGTTCAAACACTTTGCTTTTTTTTTTTTTTGAGGGGGGGTCCGGTAGTAGGGCCTGAGCACTGTCCCTCATCACTTCAGCTCAAGGCTAGCGTTCTACCACTTGAGCCACAGTGCCACTTCCAGCTTTTTTCTTTTTTCTTTGCTTATGTGGTGCTGAGGAATTGAACCCAGGGTTTCAGGCATGCAAGGCAAGCACTCTACCACTGAGCCACCTTCCCAGCTCCATCATACACTTTGCTTTTATCCTTAAGTGAAATCCAAATGCTTCAAAATAAAAAAAGGTTAGTTTCATGTTGGCACCCAAAAACTTAAGATTAGGGTGGGAGCAGGGGGTAGAGATATGTAGCTCAGTTGGAAAGCATTTGCTTAGCACAGGAAAGAGCCTGGATCCAATCTAGGGGTTAATAGGGGGAAGGGGGAATCTGATTCCAGAACTGGGGAGACTGAGGAAAAAAGAGCTCAGTCTGGTCAACAAGTGAAAGACCTGTCTCCAAAGGAAGAAAAAAGGTTTCAGATTTTGGATTTTCACATTAGGGAGGCTCAACCAGTACATGAAATTGTCTATACCATAACATACATGACAAAGAATAAGTGACAACCCTACTTAATTCTTACTAAGGACTTCCTCCTGAGGTACCAAACTCGGAAAGTTAAAAACTTGCATTAAAGCATGTTTAAATTACATCAGCTAATCCCGCAGAGGCCTACTCCTTTCCTTGCCTTTACATCAGGCTAGAGAATGCCCGTGAGGACAATTAATAGGTATGTAACACCTTACTAGATATTGCATTCTAATCATTACTCAATCGCTGTGTCACTAGGGTAAGGTTTACCATATGCAAGCTCTTTTCAGAGTTTTCTCGTTTTTTTTTTCTTTTTTTGGGGGGTCCAGTCATGGGGCCTGAACTCTGGGCCTGGGCACTGTCCCTCAGTTCTTCAACTCAAGGCTAGTGCTCTACCACTTGAGCCACAGTGCCACTTCCGGCTTTTTGCTTATGTGGTGCTGAGGAATTGAACCCAGGGCCTCAGGCATGCAAGGCAAGCGCTCTACCACTGAGCCACCTTCCCAGCCCCCAGAGTTTTCTCATTTTTATTACCATTTAATCCTCCCATCAACTCTATGAGGTCAACTAGCCAACCCAGACCACCCAGCATCTAAGGGGTGTAAACAGGATCCAGGCTGTCTGGCTCCATAATCTGCACTGCATTTTGCCAGCACAGAAAGTATTTCAAACTCCTAGAACGGAAGCTTCTAAATTAAGGCACTACCCATTATTCCCATAAACCTCAAGAATGGCATAGTCAACAGCTGCCCTACGTTTGATCATATTTAGCCACATTCTTTTGTAGGTTTGTTTCTAATTCAGCCAAAAGTAATATCTTCTTCACTAGTTTCATTTTACTCAATAAGCAACTGAAATGAGAAACTGGACTGGGCCAGTTTTATTTACTCATTTCATTTAAACTTGGAGTAAACTGGGCTGGGGTACAACTCAGAAGTAAAACCAATTCAAGAGGCTCTAGATTTAATTCCCAGCATGGCAAAAATAGAAAACAATACATCTTGCAAACAGATGTCCCCATCAGATAAATGGTGGATCAAAGCCAAGCTGGGCTGCCTCCCCTATATCTTAGCACCAAAGCACTCAGGAGTAGAATCTCAGACGCCACGTGCTCACCCCATTTTGTGTCTGTTCTCAACTAAACAAATCATTTTGTCAGGGGCTCCTTATAAACTTGCTTCACAATAAAGATACTACCCAAGTGTTTGGGGGAGATTTCTTCCCAATTAATAACTTCAGTTCAATAAGCCATGAAAAGAAACAAAGCAATTCAAAAGATTCACAAAACTAAAGTTAACTACATAGCCATTTAAATAGTAAAATACGCCCAAGAAGTTTTTTGGTTATTTTTTTTTGGGGGGGGGCAGGCGTGGGGCCTGAACTCGGCCTGGGCGCTGTCCCTCAGCTCTTCAGCTCAAGGCTAGCGCTCTACCACTTGAGCCATAGTGCCACTTCTGTCTGTTTTCTTTTTGCTTATGTGGTGCTGGGGAATGCGCAGGGCCTCATGCATGCAAGGCAAGCACTCTACCACTCAGCCACCTTCCCAGTCCCCCCGCCCAAGAAATTTTAAGACTAGGCCAGGAACAGGAAGCAACTACCCAAACCAAGTAGGTGACCATCCATGGTTCACTTAAACTTATAACTGGACACTGTTAACTTGTAATCTTTTTCCTTTATAAAAGCCATTGCCATTTCCTGTAGCTTTCAACTGCCAATCAAAAAGCTATTAATGTCAAAAGAGATTGGTATTAAAACTAGCGCTTCCTTTCATGGCAAACAACCAAATTAACCTGACTTGCTATTTGGTATTACCTCTCTAGGTTTCAATGGACAGGAGTAACATTTGCCATGCACAAAGTACTACATACTTGCAAACAAAAGGCCACATATAAAACTAATGCAGGCTGGGAATGTGGCTTAGTGGCAGAATGCTTGCCTAGAATACATGAAGTCCTGGGGTGGATTCCTCAGTAGCACATAAACAGAAAAAGCCAGAAGTTGTGCTGTCGCTTAAGTGGTAGAATGCTAGCCTTGAGCAAAAGCAGCTCAGGGAAAATGCCCAGGCCCTCAGTTCAAGCCCTAGGGACTGGCAAAAAAAAAGTATTGTAAAACTCCTTAGCTAGAATAGAACCTTCTTGATCTATGAAAACTAAATCATGCACACATGAGTATTTCTGTCCCAATAAAAAGTGACAACTTGGGCTGGGCACCGGTGGCTCACGCCTGTCATCCTAACTACTAAGGAGGCTGAGAAATGAGGCTCATGGTTCAAAGCCAAGGGGCAGAAAAGTCCATGAGACTTATCTCCAGTTAACCACCAGAAAACTGGAATTGGCGTTGTGGCAAGTGGTAGAGTGTTTGCCTTGAGCTGAGGAGCTGAGGGACAGAACCCAGGCCCAAAGTTCAAGTCCCAGGACTGACCAAAACAAAAACAAAAACGGAGAACTTGAAACTTATAGTTGGCAAACCCAAAGCCACCAACCCAAATTGAAACACTATCTCATAACATCTACTGGAATCTTTCTCTTGGATAAGTTACTTGAACATTTCTCAATGCAAACAGGAACTTAAGAATACTTTCCCCAAAACATGTACAATTATGCATAAAATCATAAAGCTATCAAAACTAATTTCTAAGCATGTTAAAAGATACAAACCTTTTTTCTTTTGAGATGTGTGTGTCTGTCTCCAGAAACAATATCACGATGAACCAAGTCTGGAGATTCATTTTCTTGGCTCCCTAAAAGTTCCACCTTACAAGAAAGTAAAGTATGACACTCAGAAATGGCCACTATAGACTCAGAAGGGCTCTTTGAGTCACAATAGCCTTTCCAGTTTTTCCCTGATGTTTGAAAAGGAGCCTTAAAATTTAAAAGGTTGTAGGGGTCATCAGAATTACAGAAAGAGTTCCACAGTTTAAGACTCTCTGCCTCATCTGCACTAGATTCCCAGTCATCATCCTCTCCAGAATAACCATCAGGAGTCTCATCAGGAAGGGGAGAGTTCCGCAGATCAGACTTGTCAGACAAATCCTTGTCCATATCAGAAGAGTCTCCAGGAACAATTCTGGAAGCAGTCTGAATTGTTGCTGTAAAGTTTTGGGGATTATAAGGATCGACACTGTAGAAAGAGTTCCAAAGTCCCACAGAGTTTCCTTCAAGGTCTGATTCTGACAGTGAGACATCACTATCAAAACCATCATCCTCAGCTTCTTCATCCCAACTCCCGTCTTCTGACTCCGAACTTGTTTCCGGGTCACTAGATGCACCTCCCAAAATGTAATCAATCAGCTTGTTATTACAAGCTGGTCGCGCTGAAATGGGAAAGTCATTCTCCATGGCAGAGAAGTCAACGACAACGATTTGGTCCTCTTCACGCTCTTTCTCTACGAGTACCTCGCTTTCCGAAAGGTCTGGCTTCGGCAGAACAAGTTGAGCCTCCCCGGGGGTCCCAGGAATGACTCCAGCAGGGGTTGAGTTCTCTGCGCAGGGTTTCAGATCCATCCGGAGAAGGCTGTGCTCCTCCTCCAGGCTGTGATAGCCATTATCTTGGTCAGGCGTGGGTAACTCTTGGCCCTTGTGAGCCTGCTGAAGGAATTCCAGCCGTTTCATGCGAAGATGGTGGATTTCGGGAAGGCCTTCTCTGGAAAGCGGTGGACACTCCTGCCACGAGGCTGCACAGATCTCTGCTCGCAGTGGTTGGGGTTGACAAGGGTCCTCAGACAGGCAGCTGTTTTCGGAGGCTAGTGTCTGGAACTCAAGGAGCTCGCCACTTGCAACGCTGTTCTGACTGCTGAGCTCTAGATAGGGAAGGCAGTTCAGGTAAGAGTGGTTCAGCAAATAAGAGACTACGTTGAAATTGCCTAAGCGCTGAATGTTGAGAGACCCGGAGGGCGAAGTGCCAAGTTCTTGGTCAAAGAACAGACGGGCTTGAAGGCTACTGGGCAACAGCTCTACCCCCCACAGCTGCTGCTCCAGGAACAAAGTGTGCGCCGCCGAGTCCAAAGGCCTTCCCTTGGCTTTGAGTTCCAAGTCTAGGTCCGAGGATGGGCAATGCCAGAGGAGCCCCTCCTCTGACCAATCCAGGGGACCGGCGACCGAATCGTCCGAAGGGTCCCGTCGCAGAGCGTTCAAAGCCTTCCGCGCGGTGGGAGTGGCTGGCTCCCCGCGTCCCCTCAGGGCTCTCAGAGTACTGTAGCCTCCGGCGAAATCCAACCATCTGGTCGGAATCATGCTACCGAAAAGCTGGCTCCAAATCAGCAGCTTCTGGAGCAAGCCGGGCAGCGGTGCGAGGAGCTGGGAAAGCAGTCTCACCCAGTAGCTGGTCCGAGCCTCGGGCTGGGCGGAAGAAGGCAGGGGAGGGTCCCCGGAGTTCACAGGGGCGGGAGTGGCCGAGAACTTGGGACAGCCGGCCTGACGTCGCCGCGGGAAGGGCAGCCGGAGAGCGGCCCAGGGGCCGGGCCGTGGGCGCGGGCCGCGCGCACGGGGCTCCATCGCCGAGTCCGCGGCCGGCGTCTCTCGGGCGGGAGGTTCGGACGGGATCGCGAGGAGGCCTACACAGTCTCGGCGTTGCCCCGCGGCGGAGTCGGCACCCCAGGCCGGTGCTGGCGTCCGCGGAGGAGCCACACAAGGCCGCGGTTCCGGAAGCGGGCGGCGGACCCCGGAGCCCCGCGGCCCGCGGAGGAGGCGGCGGCCGGGGCGACTTCCATCCTGGCGGGGGAAGCCGGTGTCTACTCCACGCGAGGTCTCCCCACCATAGGTAACGACCTTCTCGCGGCGGCGGCGACTCTCCGGGAGACACAGACCGTCACAAACCCGCTGAAACAACGCGATGCCGGAAAGCTGGGGGAAGCCCAAAATGGCCGCAGGGCCGGAGCGAAGGGAGAACACCGCGAGCCACCGGCTGAGACGAAGGACGGTCGGCGTCTACGACACCCGCCCTGCGCCACCCTACGTCATAGGCAGTCTCGGGAGGCGGGCCCTTCCTCACTTCCGTCTAGCCGCTGATTGGTCACGCCCGAAATCCCAGCCGGCTTCCATACTCTCGGCGGGGCCGCTCGCACGCGGGAGGTTGCATCAGCCGGGCTCTGGCCGTGCGCGTGCGCAGTCGGTTCCCAGTAGTCTCCTAGGAGACCGCACCCTCCGCCGCCCTCTGGGTTAAAGGGTAGAGCTTGGGGAGGAGAAACGGTTCCTGGGATAACGGAATTCTCTCGCCTGTAATCTTAGCTACGCTGGAGGCTGAGATCTGAGGGTCCCGGTTCGAAGGCATCCCGGGCAGGGAAGCCCTTGAGGCTCTTATCATCAATTAAACACCGAAGAAGACGGAAGTGGAGCCATGGGTCAAGTGCTGGAGAGCTAGCCTTGAGCAGAAAAGTTCAGAGCCGGTGCCCAGGTTCTGAGTGCAAGTCCTAGGACTGACACACACACACACCAAAGAATTTCCCTGTTATGGAACTTCTTACGCAAATCGAGATTCCGCTACGTAGAGTATTAAGTAGATCATCAGCCTGAGATCTCACCTGTGAGCTGGACAGTGCAGGATAAGTACAGACCACCTGTCGTGGAGACAGGGCCAAGAAAATGAATCCTCTATGCATTCCTGTCCCTCTGCCGAAGGGTTTCTTCATCACAGCTCAGCCTTGCCTGGAATCTAGGTTCAAGGTCTTTCAGTGTTCAACTGACACGTTCATAGCACATGAATGAAAACTCAGATGTTGACCACAAGTCATAAAGGGGACGAGAGTCTCATAACTGTTGACTTTCTTTTATGTTTCCAAGCAGGCTACATAGTCAACTCATATACTTCCTGAGCAAACAGAATCGTGTAGTACTATGGTACCCAAAGAAGGAAGCCTAGGGAACCATTGTCCTTTTGGGGGAGAAGGGGAAAATTGACTGGTAATATTCATTGCTGTATTGTATTCTCTCATAGTTTGATCTCAGTTCATTTCCTTATTTCTGCTAAAATAATCCCTAGCTGTGAAGTCCAGTGACTATTGCAAAAGGAAGTCAATAATTATGAGAACTAGGAAGTAAATGTGTTTGTTTGTTTGTTTTGGGGGGGGGATCAAGGGGAGACCAGCTGCTCCTCCTCTGTTGGGCCTTTTTAAGTAACATCTCCATCTTTCTAGGAAACCAGGTCTTCAGTTTCTGTTGTTTGCCCTTTATGACCTTACTAGGAGTATCTGAAAATATCTAATCTCTCAATCCTAAGAACTTTAGAAAAATGTTTTCATAAGACCAAAGAGGTCAAAGTATGCAAATCAATTACTAGAAGCCTTAGTTCCTTCAGAGGAAAAGTGAGACTGATACTATTAGTTTCTCTTTCAATGTACTGGTGAGAATTTTAATATAGAGCTAGCCCAGAATGCAGGACACAAACATTAGCCAATGTTACAGTGCTGTTCTACTTTACAATCTTCCATTGTTTTCTGTTGCCTACAGAATAAAAGCTCTATTCAGCCTGTCCTCCACAACAGTCTTCCAGCCTCCCCTTTCCTTTCCCTTTTCCCTCCCTTTCCTTCCCTTCCCTTCCCTTCCTCTTTCTTCTGCACCATCATTTCCTTATACTCTACACCTTTAGGCTTATCCATGCGTGCTCTGGCTTCAGCCATTTCCTGGACTGTTCTGCACCAGGAAAGCCCCCACCTATCCCTGCTAAGTAACTATGCAAGCTTCAAGCTTGTATAATTGTCTGCTTGAGGCCTTTGCCCCAACACTTAGATTACTATATATTATTAGAGAATTTAACCCACCGAGCTTTGTACCCCTGTAAATGAGCCCATCTCTGGTCCACAGAGAGCTGTTAACCTAATAACTAGCACAATGTTTCCCAAAATATGGTTTATATACCTTCTAGATCCTATTTTAAAACCAAAGCAGGCACTGATGACTCATGTCGGTAATCTTACCAATTTATGAAGATAAACTCTGAAGATCATGAGTTGAAGCCAGCCCGGGCAGAAAAGTCTACAAAAAGCTGAAGAAGCCTGGCACTGGTGGCTTATGCCTGTAATCCTAGCTACTCGGGGGGCTGAGATCCCAGGCAGGAAAGTCCATGAGACTTTATCTACAATAAACCACTCAGACAAAGTCGGAAGTGGTGCTGTGGCTCAAGTGGTAGAGCACTAGCCTTGAGCACAAGGTTCAAGGACAGAATCCAGGCTCTGAGTTCAAGCCCCAGAACCAGCAAAAAAAAAAAAAAAAAAAGCCGAAGTGGCGCTGTGGCTCAAGAGGTAAGCCTCTGGTCTTAATCAAAAAACCAAATGAAAATACATGGCCCTGAGTTCAAACCCAAATACACAGACACAGTAGAAACTATTTCAGAGGGTCCTTTGACTTTAAGGCCAAAATTATTTCCATAGTACTTTTAAGTTGGTTTTTTGTTGTTGTTGTTGTTAGCTGTGGGACTGGAACTCAGGGCCTGGGAGCTGTCCCTGAACCTTTTTGACAGCTTTTTCTATTCTTACTAGAGGGAAAGAAGCAATCACAAAGCCTTTGAACACAGTTAACAAGAGGCTCCTAGGACTATATGCCAGCTGGTGAAGACAGGAAGTCCTTGGACTGGCAAGCTGACTGGCACTTTGGCAGAAAACACTGCAGTGTGTTTACTTTTAAAACATTTTTGTCAGGCTGTAGGTAAAAAGTACCTACCTCTTTGACTCCTTTTTAAGTAATTCATATATTTGTCTTTCCAACTCATTGGTCCTTATGTTCCTACTGTTGCAACCTGCCAAGTATCCCTTAACCCGCTGCTACTGGGAGCTAGGCAGTAACAGAGACCAGACCAGACATGGAATTGAGGCTTGGGGGACCAGGGGGACCTGTAGCCTTCCTCCAGCTTCAGATCCCAAGATTCTTTTTTTTTTGGGGGGGGGTCCGGTCATGGGGCCTGAACTCTGGGCCTGGGCGCTGTCCCTCAGCTCTTCAGCTCAAGGCTAGTGCTCTACCACTTGAGCCACAGCACCACTTCGGCTTTTTTCTTTTTGCTTATGTGGTGCTGAGGAATCGAACCGAGGGCCTCAGGCATGCAAGGCAAGCGCTCTACCACTGAGCCACCTTCCCAGCCCCAGATCCCAAGATTCTTAACCAAGGATTTCATTGCTTTTGTATAGGAAGAATGTGTAGAAAGTGTGTTATAAACTTCAACACATGACATTTTTTTGTCAGTCATGGGGTCTGAACTCTGGGCTTGGGCGCTGTCCCTCAGTTCTTCAGCTCAAGGCGAACGTTCTACCGCTTGAGCCACAGTGCCACAGTGCCACTCCAGTTTTCCAGTGGTTTATTGGAGATAAGAGTCTTCTCACTTTCTTGCTTGGGCTGGCTTTGAACCGAGATCTTGAGATCTTAGCTTCCTGAATAGCTAGGATTAAGGTGTGAGCCACCGGTGCCCGGCTCACTTGACAATATTTTGGATAGACTTTTTTTTTTGGGGGGGTCCAGTCATGGGTCTGAACTCTGGGCCTGGGCGCTGTCCCTCAGCTCTTCAGCTCAAGGCGAGCACTACCACTTGAGTCACAGTGCCACTTCCAGCTTTTTTCTTATGTGGTGCCGAGGAATCGAACCCAGGGCCTCATGCATGCGCTCTACCACTGAGCCACCTTCCCAGCCCGACAATATTTTGTATACAAGTGGTAGATGACTTTCTTCTAGGGGAAGGAGAGCAAAACAGTAAATAGCTTACAATTTGCCTAAACCTTAGTCTACCTTCAGGCTCCCACACACAGTTTAGGGTGGAATTAGCCCATACCCAGGATAGAAATCTGAATTCCCATTAAACCTGGACTGATTGACCTTTCTAGGAAGCTCTCAGTGTCTTGAGAGTTTGTGGGGAGAAGGCCTTCCAAAATCCTAATCCTTTCCAGTCTCATAGTTCGCACCCTACACTGCTACTTAAACCATCAGAGACCATAAGCACTGCCACCACTTCCAGTATTAAAACTACCTCCTCACAAAGATTCTCCTGCTTCTTTCCCACTCCAACATTTGTCTGTGACAATATTGCAACCTTCTCTGGTTGCCAGTGGCTCACACCTCTAATCCTAGCTACTCAGGAGGCTGAGATCTGAGGATTGTGGTTCAAAGCCAGCTTGGGCAGGAAAGCCATTGAGACTCCTTATCTCAATTAACAACCAGAAAACCGGAAGTGGAGCCATGGCTCAAAGGGGTAGAGCACTAGCCTTGAGAGCAAAAGCTTAGGAATGGTGCCCAGGCGCTGAGTTCGAGCACCATGACTGACAAAAAAAAAAAAACCCAACCCTAGTTAGACCCAGCTACCCAGCCATTCCATGTCAGCCAGTACTGCTGGAAGATCATTCCAATATGCCAGCCAACTGCTGTCCCTTGTGGTCACTAATCACATCTACTCTGGGCATCCCCCATAGCTGTGCGTCTCTCACAAGCTGACTCTGTTTCCCAATGCTTCCTCCTCCAATTTCCACTTCTCAATTTAGAATCCATCACAACAGACATCCCTAAGAAAGTTAATCCACACATAAACCCTCCCCTCCTTTCACCCCTTAAATCCACCCACATCTGGATTCACTTACTCGGCCTTCTCACTGCAAGCCAAAATGCCTCTTGGCTCCTGGCTCTACATTCCTACTCAAGCAGTTCTAGTCTGATATCATTTCTCCCCAGTCATATAGAAATTTTGGGGACTTGAACTCAGTATCTGACACTTGCTCACCTGAGCCATGCCTCCAACCCCAACAAAGAGGTTTCTATCCCACAAATAGATCGTGTACATTAACATAGTTTAAGACTGTCTTCAAAAACTCTCCCTGAGGGGCTAAGAAAGTGGCTTAGGGGGCTGGGAAGGTAGCTCAGCGGTAGAGTGCATGCCTTGCAAGCATGAGGCCCTGGGTTCGATTCCTCAGCACCACATAAACAGAAAAAGCTGAAGTGGCGCTGTGGCTCCAGTGGTAGAGCGCTAGCCTTGAGCTGAAGAGTGCTTGCTTGCTTAGTGGGGGTGAAGCCCTGGGTTCAATTCCTCAGTAGCACATGAACAGAAAGAGCTGGAAGTGGCACTGTGGCTCATG